TGTGCATTTGTGATTGTGATAGAGTGTGTGTCTGTGTGTACACTAAGCATATCCCCATGCTTTGGAGACTTGCATAGCTTCTGCAAGACAGGAAGAGCAGTTGTCCATTTAGTAGGAGCCTTTGGCACAGCCTTGGCCGAGAACTGAAGGCAGTACTCAAGTTGCACCATATAATTCAAAGAGACATCTGCCCTTATTGCACCATAAGTACACACGTGTTTCATGTTTGCACCATATGAAATTGGATTAGCAGCCAATTGACTCTGTATCTTGAGAGCATTTGCACCATATGAACAGCAAGAAAAGCTGCTTCTGTTGCACATCTGGATCGACTAAATCTATCCGCCAGATTGTGGCATGTGATTAGTCTGTTGCCGTTTTTCTTTTTTTTTCAAATCAGGCTAGCACCAGGGAAAAACAATGAAAACTCCTTCATTTATTTTTACTATCCAACTCTAAATCAATACCTCAGCATGTTTTGTTTGTCCTCTTTCTTTCTCCTTCTCGTGTATATTTGCATATATTTATTTGACGGTGATTATTATAAGCACTAAACCTGGGGAAAATTTCCTAGGAAATCTAGATGGTGTCATTCCTCTTATGTAATTTCTGATTGCTCTGACATATTTGGTGTAAATGAGAGGTGTATGAGGGTATGAAGGCAACCTTTCCAACATACTTTAAAAAAAATAAAAATATTGAAAAAAGTCAGACAATAAAAGCAGTCTTTTATCCAAGTGCTAGTGTTTAACTAGCACCTCCAGACCAAATATTTGCCTTAACGTCTCCATGCTAACGTATTCATGCTAAGACAATGTTTCAAGCATATATTTTCTCATACTTCTTGCTGTAGTCCTGTTTTATCAGCTTAAGGCCAAATATTCTACTGATTTAGGGAAAATTTGATAAAAGCTGGGCAGCATGGCTAAGGCCTGCATCCAATCTGCAAAAACAGAGAATGTATTATCTCTTCTCATTCTGTTTTTGCAGCTCTGCTTTCTCCGAAGCAAGAGTTTAAAACTAATTGTTGTAAAAATGAGTAAAGATGATTTTTTCTTAAAATATGTTACCATATTTTATAGCATTAACGAGGTTATGTAGGAACTTCTTTAGAAGTAGGATTTTTTTCCGCTAAATTGGTGTTTCCAGCTAAGTTCTGCTCAAAGAGGTAATTGTTCATTAGCTTGAGCCAAAAAAATTGTCATTACTGATTTTATGGGCAGGTTGTGAGCTAAAAGAGGGGGAATAACAAATATTACAGCGAATGTCAGTGCAAAAAAAAAAATGCAAAACATATTTTGGCACACCATTGTGATATGCTAAGGTAAAAGAGACCATACAGTTACAACCATTCAAAATGGCCAATCCCAGTCGGTCCCAGTTTTTTTACTCTGACTCCACCCTTACACTGAATTACAGAGTCTGATCAGGAGATGGCGCTTCTCTTTACATCTTAATTCACTTCAATTCAGTTTATTTCTATAGCGCCATTTCACAACACATATCATCTCAAGTCAATTTACAGTTCACCAGATCATCCAGTCAAATTGATTCAAAGTTTTCTATCTAAGGAAAACCAGTTGATTGCATCGACTCATTGACTCGAATGAAATCCCTCACACTAAGCATGCTTGTAGCGACAGTGGAGAGGAAAAATTCCCTTTTAACAGGAAGAAACCTGCAGCAGAATCCGGCTCAGTGTGAGCGGCCATCTGCAGAGGCCGATTGGGGTTAAAGGAGACAGAAGCAGAGATACAAAATGAATGTTTAAAAATCATGACAGAAAGAATATTTTAGTGAAAAGATTGATGTTGAAAAAGGAATTGTATTGTGAATGAGTACTACTGTAAGTAAAGCCTACTTTTTGTTGTTTTAATTATTTTAAACTGAGAAAAGGGAATTGAGAAAAGAGTATAGCAACATTATAACTAGAGGTTTTTATATTCTTTTTACTGTAGGAGAGGGGTTGTGCAACTTTTGTCCATATGAATGTATTTGAAAAACGAAAAAGTAGCTGCAGTGGTATTAATAAATAAAAGAGGAATTCTGGTTTAGATATGGCAGATTGTGCTAAAGATCTGCAAATGTAGTCAAGAATGATTTGAAATCCAAAAGAAAGCTTTGATGCAGATGTTAGCAAGAGTTTCATGTACTGTCAAGCTTAAACAAGAATATGTGTCACACTATTTATGAGCCTGGTTCTGCTGGAGGTTTCCTCCTGTTTTAAGGGAGTTTTTTTCTCTCCACTGTCGCTACAAGCATGCTTAGTCAATGAGTCAATGAAATCAACTGGTTTTCCTTAGATAGAAGACTTTGAATAAATCTGACTGTATGATCTGGTGAACTGTAAAGTGCCTTGAGATGACATGTGTTGTGAATTGGCGCTATAGAAATAAACTGAATTAAATTTAGACCAAAACGGAAAGATTATTAACATGTCTAATAATTATGTCCAAAAAATTTAAAAGGTAAAAAAAAAAAAAAAAAGAAGAAGAAAGTAATCATGTTTTTGTTTATCTGTCTTGCATAAATTAAACTTCATGGCAAAACATGTTTTTTTTTTTCTTTTTTTTTTTAACTTCACCCCATGGTGTGAGAGCAGCCCCCTTCGACAGTGTGTCATTTCTCCACCGTTCCCACAGACGGGGCCATGATTGATGCATCGGCACCATTTGCTGTTGCCTGCCAATGTAACAGCTTGTATACCAGGGATAAACAAACCAAAAATAAATAAATAATGAGCCACACATCACAGCTCAGCAGTGGGTGGCTTTTGGAGGAGTTGATACTGGACGTGAGGCATGAGAAGACAAGTCATCCAGGGGGGGTCGTGACGATTAAAGTCCACAACTGTTTTTATATCAGCTGAATAAGAAACACAGAAACACTACGCATGGATCAGAAATAATCAATAGTGTATTTGCACTCTGCTGTAGATCCCAAACCCGTGATTTTTTTTTTTGCCGACGTCTACCACTGATACAAACCAATTTACCGAGCGTTAGCAGTTTTTGACAGTCTGAGTGAAATATTAAAGCCGCCCACAACCCTTTTAAGTCAGACTGGAAAATGAACAGTTAGATAACAAATGCACAAAAACGCACCACAACTTTCATGTCCATTTCTGTGTTTCCATGTTTCTTTCTTCACTAAACAAATGGTGCATACAGATACCTGCTTTCTTCTGTGACTAGCATGAAATCTGCAATGTTTTTATTTATTGTTTACTTTGTCATATGGCAGTATTTATTAGCCCAAAACATTTATATGAAAGTAATTAAAGTAGAGAGTTCCGGAAAAATTTTCTCCATCTATGAAAAAAATAATTCAAATTATAAATAGAGGTTAATTATAATAGAACTATAGTTTTCCAATTTTAATAAAATATCTTAATAGCTAGTCAGATTTGTCTCATATTAAATTAGCTTTTGAGATTAAATAAAAGAAGTTTTATTGAGTGTAACTGTAACTATAAATGTTTATATAAATTCCGAATCAATTTAGCTAGGTAAGAAATACTGGCTCTCTGTGGAAAAACAGGAACACAGCATGATACCGCTACCACCATGCTTCACAGTAGGGATGTTGTCATTTAGGTGATGAGTAATTCTTTTTACTAACATGACATGTGAATGTTTGTATTGAACCAAATAATTTTCTCTTTCTCCTTTTGTCTGAGAATCTCTAATTTGATTTCCAGCTATCATAGTAAGCGGTGAATGACTTCCCTGTAGCCACTCTACCATAATAACAGTAACTGAATTGCTTTCGGAGCTGCCTAATGTAGCTAAACCTTTTATTATTATTATTTGTCCCCAAATTCATTCTTTAATACAGTCGGTATTGGAGGCTTAAATACAATTTCTGTCACTTGGTTGGTCTGATATCTACTGTCAAAAAGTAGACCTTATATATACACAATTTCCTTGCTTCCCAAATCATGATCAGTCAAAATAAATTAGGCACAAATAGCCGATCAGCAGATGTGTTTAGAGGATGATTGGTGCAAATCCATTGATCTGGCACTTTGCAATAAGGTACACAAAATCTGATTAACTACTAGAGAGTACCTAGAAAACTAATCAGTAATCAATACTTTACTGGGGCAAACCCAGCCCAGCTTGATTACTACTACTGAGTTACCTGGGAAACATAGTAACTAAGCTGAAACAAATGGGTAGTTTAGTTTCACTTTACCTACTGTAAGGGTTCGAAAAACATTGGTTAATGGTCAGGTGGTATTTAAGTAGTGAATAATTACTCAGAAAGTACTTGGTATAATGTTTCACTTTACTTTAGTGTAGCCCTACAAAACATCATTAGATAATGGTCAGGCATGTACTGGGCAATGATTAGTTCCTTGTTAACTACCTAATACAATGCTTGACCCAACAAAGTCCATTAAATAATAGCCGCAGTAAAGTAGTTTTCGTAGGCTGACTTCACAGGTTTAATGTTTATTCAGAACCAACAATAAAAATTTCTGCACTATTTTTGCAGTTACAAACCAGTATTTCCCTTATAAGTACTGGTTAACTACCCTTTAGTTCCTTATTTGTTCCTGTTTGGTTTCCTTGGTAACGATATATTAGTTCCTGATTAGTTACTCTGTAATTCCCAGCTAAGTAAGCAGTAGCCCCATTAGAAGGCTGAGCTAGGTGTGCCCCAGTAAGTACCCATTACAGTAACTACCCATTAGTTCCTAGTTCTCTAGTAGTTCATAAAATTTTCATTACCTTATTATAAAGTTTTACTTCACTGGCAAAATAAAGCTAAGTTTTAAGTGTTATAGCTTTGAATAGTTGTGCAGTTTTTCTTCATAACTATTTACAAGAAAATATTTAAATTTGGATCACTTTAAATGTGTGTCTAAAAACATGTTTTCCCAGAGATAAAATAAATTTACTAAGATAATTTTTAGTGAAATAATGAATGCAGCACTATTAAAAGAAGCTAATGACAATAAGTTAAACTTATAAGTTAAACCTAAAGTGGATTGCATTGTTTACTTTTGTTTTTATTACATAGTTTTGTCCTAAAAGGAGCGTTTTTTTCAGCTGTTCTTTTAAGTATGGACATAATGCAATTTCTTTAATCAAAGATTTAATAAAAGTTATTTTACTAACTTTGAATTAATCTAATAAAATGTCTATATTGGTATTGAAAGTATCAATTACTGTTTATTCCAAGATATTTGTCTTCTGGTAGTTAATGTACTATTTGGTCTCAGTATGAAAAGTAGATAATGGATCAGCTCCATTACCGTTTCCACTTGCAGACAGGACATACAGCTACTTCACTGTTCAGATTCCTGAATATCCAGAAAATTGGATAGATGCTCTCAAGATAAATGACTAAAACTTAGGATGAGGCTTTTTCCTGTAAGTCAGTGATATAAATACTGTCTTCTGTTTTTGTCGTTCCCCGTTCAGGGCTGTTTTAGTCTCTGGTACACTGAAAAAAAATAAGGCAACCCCTTTTGGCATTTATTTAATCATGTTAAAGTAACTAAATATGATTAAGTAAATGCCAAAAGCAGTTGAATTATTTTTTTCAGTGTTCAGAACAAACTTCCACAGCTGTCTTTGAGCTTTTTGTTCAGCCAGAAATTGACATTACATTAAAAATATCTGCTCTGTACATAAAAAAATATTTACACAAACCTTTGACTAGACTAACCACATGTTCACAATCCCCTTTGTTTTTTAAGAGACTATTTTCTTACCTTTGCGTCTCATTGTTTTACGTGTAACGATCGCATCATAGATGACGCGGTCGGGTGCTTCTGCAGAGGTGTAGACATTTCTCTTTTTCAAATTTTTTTTTTCCCTCCTTGGCAGAGGGTGCGAGGGAAATTCATAACAATGAGACCCAGTGAGGAGCGACTAGAGAGAAAGAGGAAAACGGACTGAAGCAGCTTGCTGAGTCATAGCCACAAGACGTACGAGAGGTGTGTGTGTGCTTAAAAGTGAGATTGCTTTAGTGGGCATGTGCTTATATCAAGTGACTTTTTTTTTTTCCTTTGTCTCCCCTAAGTTGGAAAGTTTGAACATCCACGTCTATATTTTATAGTGCTGTATGTGCTCAGGTGTGACTCTGTGTGTGTTTGTGTGTCAGAGTGACGACTCGTACTGCAACAGTTCATACAGTAAGGGTCCGTCTCGATAGCGGATGCCCACAGCAGCCGGCGTTATGTACTGCAGGATGTTTATAGTCCTCCGCAGGCGCCGGTCTACGTAGTGCGCATCCCAAGCCGGGTAACGCTTCCTGGGCATGTCGATTTTTATCAGCGGGCCTTCGGGTTTGGAGGTCGGAGGGGCGGACCTCACCTGGAAGACAGGAAGGCACGTCTCGGCCACGTCTTCTTCCGTCTGGGACTTGGTCATGTGGGCCGGGGTGGGCGGGGCAGTGGGCGGGGCTGACGGGGGAAGCGGGAGACCCCAGAGCAGCTGGGCGCAGCAGGAAGAGGCCGGGCTCGGCTGGAGGTGGGCGGTGGCTGGATGCAGGAAGCCGTAGTAGAGGAACATGACGAGGACGCCGCCGGCGAATGTCAGGTAGACGCTGAAGAGGGCGGGGACGGCGTATGAGTCGGTGAGCAGCGGGTCCCTGTAGGCATACCTGCACCCGAAAGGAGATATAACCACATTAGCTCGGGCAGATGTAGATGGAAAGTTTTACCCATTCTTTTTACAAAAAACTCAAGTTCAGACAGATTAGACAGAGAATCTGAGGGCAAAAATTTCAGGTCCTACAGGTTTGGAGTTTGACTGGTCCATTTCAACACACAACCTAGCTTTGATCTAAACTATAGCTCTGTCTGCACAGTATGATGGCACCACCACTATGTTTTTCATTTCAGATTCAGTGTAATGAGGTCAAGAGGTAAAGTGTTTGGATCAGAACACCTTGTTGGACATAGAGATTCATCTAAAAGTTGGCTTCCCGCATTTAGTCAGCATGTTTTCTATTTCACTGTCATGCATTTCAAAGATCTTCAAGATGTTTGGGTGCATTTTTTTTCACCAATGTCAGTCATATGGACTGTGTGTTTTCTAAATCACTGGGAACACTTATTTTTAGCTTTTAATGTAGCACTAAGGCAGGCATGCCCAAATTTTGTCCTCGAGGGCCGCTGTCCTGCAGGTTTTAGGCGTTTCCCTGATTTAGCACAGCTGATTCTAATGATTGTAATTCAAGAAAAGCCTGTTAATCAGAAATCAGCTATACTGGACTAGGGAAACATCTAAAACCTGCAAGACTACGGCCCTTCGAGGACTGACTTTGGGGATTCCTGCACCAATTTAAATGACGTTAGTTGGCAATACTGTACTCGGGGAGTAAAATAACCTCTGGAGAAAATTCTGCTAAAGACCCTAAACAAACCTCAATAAATAAATATATTATATAGATCATATATATTTCTTCTAGGGGGGTCATTATCATGATAAGCTTGTTGTGGGTTATTTAACCAAAGCAGAGAAGCAATGTCAGCTCTAGTTATTTTTCAACAATCTTAAAAAGGTAAAGATACACTGATTTAATATTAAATACTTTAATATTAAAGGGAAATCTAGATCTGGTATGAGTGAAGCCCAATCCATGGAGGCAGATTTCTGATGATGATTTAGGTTAAAATTTAAAACCTCTTTCTCAGCAGGATAGTTTATCCCTTCATTTGGTATTTGTCTTTAATTTAACAAAAACAGTTAGTTTGACTGACTTCCTTTTATGACCTAACAGTAATCTAAAGCTGCCTTTTTGGACATACATGTGTACAATCATATACACTACCGTTCAAAAGTTTGGGGTCACACTGAAATGTCCTTATTTTTGAACAAAAAGCACTGTACTTTTCAATGAAGATAACTTTAAACTAGTCTTAACTTTATAGAAATACACTCTATACATTGCTAATGTGGTAAATGACTATTCTAGCTGTAATGTCTGGTTTTTGGTGCAATATCTACATAGGTGTATAGAGGCCCATTTCCAGCAACTATCACTCCAGTGTTCTAATGGTGCAATGTGTTTGCTCATTGGCTCAGAAGGCTAATTGATGATTAGAAAACCCTTGTGCAATCATGTTCACACATCTGAAAACAGTTTAGCTCGTTACAGAAGCTACAAAACTGACCTTCCTTTGAGCAGATTGAATTTCTGGAGCACCACATTTGTGGGGTCAATGAAACGCTCAAAATGGCCAGAAAAAGAGAACTTTCATCTGAAACTGGACAGTCTATTCTTGTTCTTAGAAATGAAGGCTATTCCATGCAAGAAAATGCTAAGAAATTGAAGATTTCCTACAACGGTGTGTCTTCTCCCATCAGAAGACAGCACAAACAGGCTCTAACCAGAGTAGAAAAAGAAGTGGGAGGCGGCGTTGCACAACTGAGCAAAAAGTACATTAGAGTCTGTAGTTTGAGAAACAAACACCTCACAGGTCCCCAACTGGCATCTTTATTAAATAGTACCCGCAAAACACCAATGTCAACATCTACAGTGAAGAGGTGGCTGCGGGATTCTGGGCTTCAGGGCTTCAGGGCAGAGTGGCAAAGAAAAAGCCATATCTGAGACTGGCCAATAAAAGATAAAGATTCAGATGGGCAAAAGAACACAGGCATTATTGACAGACGGAAGCTACAAGCTGATAAATATATATATATTTTTTCAAATTTTTTTATATAATTACTGCTCTAAGTGAGTTGCTCTGTCAGCTAAAGGGCTATTTTAGAATTTCTATGCTCCAGTTAACGATTAATTGAATAATCAGGATGAATCCAATTAATTGTTTCAGTCCTGATAAATACATATTCTGTGAAAGTCTAATTACAACATATAAAAATGAGAGCATTCTCATAGCTTAGAACTAGTTTATAAATATAAATAAAGGATGGGTGCACCCAAAGGGAGATGCAATGTTGCGTTGGCATTTTTGATAACTGCAGATTTCAGTGGAATTCGAAGTGATGTAAAAAAGTCAAACAGGATATGAAATATTTATCAAGGCGGTAGATATCCATTTTATATTTCAGTACATTTAATTCTGATTGAATTCACTATGACTCACCAAAGGCCTGTAAGGATTGTATTCTCTGCCAACACCACGGTGTAGTACGCTATCATCCTGTAACGCGTCCGTCCCTCCTTCACGTTAAACCAACAGAAGATGTAGACGATGCCAACCACCATGTTGAAGAGCACCTCCTCCCACTTGGACATGCAGAAGTCGGTGCCCCCGTGGACCACCCAAAAGGCCATGGCGCACCAGTGCAGCACCACGAAGATGCCGAAGTAGATGTGGAAAAGGGAGGCGAAGAGGGCAAGCGAGAGGACACGGGACGAGATGGTGAAGAGGCGCCAACAGAGGTGGAGCAGTGCGCCGCGGTAGCTCATGCTCCGCTGGTCGTCCCTGGAGTCGCGCAGCAGCTTGTGGTAGGAGGCTAGAACCCAGGCCAGAGAGAGGAGGGAGGCCAGGGAGGAGAAGCCTAAAGAGACAGAAAGAAGCACATCCTGGGACATATTCAGGACTCTTTGGGGGTGTTATGTGTAATGCTGTTGGACATATTATCTAGGGCACCAGAGAAACATTTGGCAGTGATGCTGTAAGATTAGGTTATTTTGATTGTCCATCCACCCCCCTAAGTACTGGTTATGTATTTACATTAAAGTAGCGAGTGTCCAAAAAGTCAAGAGTTACAGGGATGATTAACACCAGTGAGAGGCCTACTAGATGATGCACATCCTGAATGATTAAGGAGGAGGAGGGAGATGACACGTATGGAGGTTCTCTCTAGATCAGAATACCTGGACAAACACTGAGCACCATCTGCAGCCACACATTACGGAGCCCAATGTGAGCAAATAGCTAATTACTGTTCATGCAGCTGTTGACTAACAAGTGCTTTGTTGGCTGCATGGAAAACGCGGCATTAATGACACCTACACTGCAGGGTCCCGGCTCGGTTCTCTTGGAACATGATGCAGAGCTGCAGCACCAGCTGGGGCGCCGACGCCAGGAACGTCTCCAGCAGGCGCAGCATGTTGACATCGGCGTACTCGAACATCATGGCCCAGTACCATCGCCGCTGGTGCTCCTTCTGCCGCCGCGACATGACCCCCAGATACAGCGTTCGAATGTACCTACGGGGGTAAAATACGGAGGCTACATTAGAAACTGGTCTAAATATACACCATCTGCGCATATTTAGAGTAAGATCTGATGTCTTTCTAGACAAAACAACTGACTAATGAGGAATACAATCAGCAGATGAGTCAAGATTGAGTGAGCTACTACGAATAGTGGAGTGACTGATCCCTGCAAATCTGAATGCTCTGATCCATACATGCTGAGTGGATTTCTAAATGTGAGAAGGATGTGGGCAAGTTACATACTATGAGTGCATCCCAAATGAGTCCTAGACCATGAACATAGTCCTGCATTATGCATGCTATTGGAAAAATATACAGTATGAGCGTTACAGGACATAAGAAAATGAGGTATGAATGGAAGATAGAGCGACAAGTGCATGAATTTACAACACAGACAGCAGGAAACTCATTTGATGAATAAAAAATGTAAAGTTCAATCCTAGCATTAGAAAGGGGTTTTAAATGACTTTAAGAGGGTTGGTTGTTTGTATTTGGCTGTAAGATGAAGGGAGGGATGTGTACAATCATCAGGAATTATTTCAAACACCTTATTTAATCTATAATGAAGAATTTAAGCAGTTATACAGTTGGAAAAGGGGTCCAACCCGATAGGAGCATCGTAATAAAGTGAGTTTGCAAAGTCTCACTTATGTCCAAACTGATTTAGAGCAGATTTAATTAGAACTTTATAAAAATACCTGTCTCATTGTTGTCTTTAGAAAATATACTTTTGAGCACAATGAGTTCCTCTTTTATTTACTGTTTTGATTTCATATAATGTATCTTGTAAAGTTTAAACCCTGTATGTAAAAAGCTACAACCAATACTTTGAGTTATTTTGAAATTTATGTCGGTTAGAACTTTTGTGAATGCAACTGTGTCCACAAAATCTATTTAAATTTCACTTAATTCTTGTTTTTTTGTTGTTTTTTTAACAAATCTCTGAAATGGTTTGATGCGTTACCCTTTTTGCCATCATTAAAACCACAAAATTAAAATGGAATTTAACACCAATAACGACTGGGTGTAGATTTCTGGAAAAAAAACAAATCAGTCTTCTCTGTAACGCTCAGGTGAATACTGACAGGCAGGCAAATTCGATAAGCCCTGACATGAGAGGATGTGCCTCTAAATTACCCGAGTAGATCCCCCACCCCCTTCACCACTCCTCTTCTTTTCTCTTCCTCCTCCTGATCTCTATCCCTCCACCCTCCCCCGTCTTCACTCCCCTCCGTTTCTCTTCCCCCCCTTCTACACTCAGCCTCTTCATCTCTAAAGGAATCCATCTCAATCAGGCTATACCATTTCCTTCCTCCCTACATCCAGGTGGGCGGGTCCATTCTGCCATTTGCAGGACGGAGAGGGTGGAGGGGGATGTTTTAACCCTACAACTCAAAGCTGAGTAGCTGTGGACACAAACATACATAACTCTACCTTTAAGCCTCCGGACACCATTAGAGGGTCCTGTAGGAGAAAACGAAGGGTGTGTGTGCTGCACTTACACAATGCCACTACCACTACTATGATTCCGAGTTTAACGCGTGTCTTCTATGTTGCTCCTCAAGCAGTGCTTTTAGCACCTCAATTAACACCTAAGTATTTCCCACTGAGTGTGTGTGTGTCAGATGGGGAGGGGGAGAGATAAATAGTGAGCGTGAGAGAGAGGAGTTGCCAGAAGCACAGATGCTTTTCCTCTTTGTACTCCCCATGCACGCTGACACTCGTGGGGAAGAGCCGTGACACCGTTTTTCCACTCGTCACACACGCCAACATACACAAAAACGCGCAGAAATAGAGTCCTGACCTCTTTGCCGGACTGTGAGAAGACAGATGCCTGTTTAATTAGCTCCACATTATTCATCATGCTACAGATACAAGCCGATATGTTGTTAAGGCTGGGAAATTTCAGATACTGATGAGTCTTTTGGGGTATTTTTAATACTAGTTAAAGCTCAGGACTTTGAAGGAGACATTTTAATGCTTTGAAAGATACAATTCTAGGATCATTATGCTGCTAGAAGGTGAACCTCCACCTTTGACACAAGTCTTTCTCTGCATTTAGACTTTTTTTCCCCCAGGATAGCTATTGTATTTAGCTTCACTCATCCCACCATAAACTATGGCCATTGCTGGCTCTGCTGAAGTAATGTTCCTTCAATAGGATGCAGCCATCGCTGTTTAAAAAATGTTAGTTTATTCTTATTTCTAAGAAATAACGTGACTTTGCAAGGTTGCTGTGGATTTTATTTATTTATTTTTTTTAGGTCTGGATGCAAATGCCCCTCACACCTTTTAGCTTTTTCAACCTTTTTTGGGCTAAATCATATAAAAAGAATGATGAATACTTGAGTTTTTTGGTTGTAAGAATGTTTAAAATTCAGAATGTTGTTTAAAAGCATCGCTTTGAATGGATTCAGCACCATGGAGAGCGTCACTTTTAGTCTTATTTTTCATTTTGAAACCATTTCTTCTTTCTTTTTGCTGTTTGTTTCAACATAAAGTAAACTTTTTAAACGACTGTAGTGGCTATTTCTGAGTGGCTAAATGATTTTTTGCCATTCTTTTTTTTTCTGGAGGAGAGGAGCAGGTGTGTTCTCACCTCCACACCTGTCCCAGCTGGAGGATGTGGATGATGACCTGCCACAGCCAGATGGTGGCCAGCTGCAGGCGGTCCTTCCCGGGATACAGGCATCCCTGGACCACCGTCCCTCTTTTTGTAAGCCCCTCCACCTCCCCGAGCCCCCCGCCGGTGTAGTCCTGCACGAACCAGCGGAAGCTCAGAATCTGGACCAGCACGGACGGTACCAGCACAAAAAACAGCGTGAGGCCGAACCAGAGGTACTTCTGGCTCTGGTAGTAGTCCGCCGCCAGGAAAAGGTCCGTTCCAACGTCCCAGAAGAAGACGAGCAGGGCGAGGATGATCCAGAGGCAGTCCAGCCACAGCTGCTCCCGTGGGGGGCAGTGGGTCTCCCGGATACCGACCCCTCCGATGGGTTGGCCCCCGCCGAGCAGAGAGCCCAGGCAGGCGGAGCGGCAGCCCCAGTAGCAGGCGGAGGAGCGGCAGCACTGGCAGATGTGGATGGCGGCGGAGTCCAGCGGCTCCTCAGCGTCGATATCGTACAGCTGGGCGAACCCGCCGCCGCCGCCGCAGCCGACCCCGGCTTTACCGCCGTCTGACTGCGCGGCCATGTTCCCCTTGCCGCTCCTGCCCTCCTGTGAAACGCACGACAACCGCACCGTGGTGACTGCTGGCTGGGCGCGGACACCACGTCACTTCCCAGGTACCTCCTGTCCTCTTCCCTCTCGCGCCGCGGCGACTGCTGTGTCTCTTTCCCGTTCGGGGCGCGAGGAGCCATCAGAGCCGACGGCCGCGCGAGGGCGGCTCCCCTTCTTCTCTGTGCCCCGCGCGGGACACCGCCCCCGGACGTTCGCGTGCGGCAGCGGCGCAATCTGGTTTCCTTCTACTCCAGCAGCCCCGCATCATCTCCTCCTGCGAGCGCGGTCATCCAGGGCGATGGGAGGTTATGACGTAATGCATCTCCTGCTGGTTTAAAGACGCGCGCGCGTCTGTGTGTAAAAGCAAAGTGTGTGTGTGGGGGGGTGGTAGTTTTTGGTTCTTTCTATAAGCCTCCCTGTCTAATTAAAACCACCGAGGTCTGCCTCTCATGCCGCCCCTCTGCAGCCTAAACGTTCCAGGTATCGGCTGCCACCTCTGTCCGCCCCTCTGCTTTCTGCAGCTCCAGCCCCTCTGCAGCTCCTGTTTCCCCTCTGCTCACTTTCCTTCACACCCACTGCGCCCCCTGCTGGAGGGAACAACTTTAACCCCCTGTTCACATCTGTACATCCTGCTGACTTTTTGCTTTATGGGAGCAAAATGTGATAAATAGATTTTTAAACATTATTTCTGTTTAATATGGGAAAAAAGTCAGAAATCTGACTTTAATCTCAGAATTCTGACTGAATTCTGACAGTTTAATATCAACATCTTAGCATTAAGCTGTAGCCATGTCTGTTTTAGAGACCATCTCTCTTGTTTTAAACACCTTCTGCTCTTCCATTAATCAAATACCATCACCAGGACCCCTTAGGCACGTAAAAAGTTGCCTAATTTCGTCATTTTACAACTCACATCTTTGTCAGTGAAGCTGAGTGCTCCCTCTCTTCCTTCATGGTGCCCATCTACATTAAGATCCAAAATTCGGAGATTAAAGTCAGAATTCTGAGATTAAAGTCAAAATTCTGAGAGAAAAAAAAGTCAGAATTCTGAGAGAAAAAAAAGTCAGAATTCTGAGAGAAAAAAAAGTCACGACTCTGAGATTAAAGTCAGAATTCTGAGATTAAAGTC